CTCTTGCCGGCTTTGGTGAGGGAACGTGGTAGGTGAGGAAAAAAGGTGTTGCAGGGCAGTACTACAGTGGGAATGAAAAACAGTCGTTTGTGTAGAACTTTTTAGGGGAAACCATGCTTGTGTTGCTGACTAGATTGTGGCATATGAGCCAGTCAAATAACTTGGGATAGGCTTCAGTTTTCTAGTTAAAACTGGTGATTTTTTTTTCAATCTATGGGCACCAATTTTTTTTTATAGTAGTGGTTATTTTTTGTTACACTTTTTTTCACAGCAGATTAGAAAAGGGAGCTGTAACTAGAAAACCAGTCATTGATCTCGTTAAAATTCTGTTTACACTCAGACCAATAGAATAAGCTAGGCAGGTGATTGATATGTAGAGATAACCTATACAGCGAGTAGCATTTTGGGGGAGACACAGATTATCTAGCCGATGTGTTCTTGTTCCTGTATGAATAACGAACCTGCTGTGTCCATGGGATGTGTGAACTGTCTACAGGCTGGATTGAGTCCAGTATACTGGACACAAGACTATGAGTAGAAGTGTGCTCTGTCTCAGTCTTAAGTAGCCCAGAGACTGAAAATACTTCTGTCTGGTGTCAACAGGAAGGAGGAAAAAGAAGTAGAAGCAGACAAAATAATTCAGCAAGAGAAAAGTGAACCAAGCCTGATCTGTCCCCCACCACGCAGCAGAAACTATTTTCCTCCGGAGAATATACAGAGCTGCCTTGAGTCTCATGTCAAGGAGATTTTTGGACCCTCATTTTCTGATAATTGGCAGCAGACACCACTCAAAGAAAACAGGTTAAAGTATCGCCTCCTGGCTCAGCTGGCAGCAGAACTTGGTCATGCTGTCCCCAATTCACAGCTCCACTTGATGCGCAGTGCTGAGGACGTCTTGAATTTCTATAGCACGCCTGTGAAGGATACGTCCAAGTTTGATGAACTGTGCGCTGCAGAGCTACCCCCAAACCTGAAGATTACCTGGGAGCAGTGAGTCACACCACAAAGCAGGGCTTTGCTTTGCTTGTGCTCTTAAGGCAGGACTGCAGAGCAGAAGCAGAGCCCTTTCATTGGGGTAGCAACCAAATATATTAATATCACTAATAAAAGTTCATTTCGTTGTCTTCAGGTTTCATTGTTTCTGTTTATTATATATGGAAAAAAAAGCGGAAAGCTTTTGTGAAACAGTGATGCAGCGTGGTCAGTAATGGTGCTAATGTACACTTTCTGGCCTTTACATGCTGTCCGACAGTTACAGGGTCCACTGGGGAGAAACAGTGGGGACCAACTCCCCAGTTTCTTCCCCGCACCTCCTAAACTTGTCTTCGGTTCTGAACTGTGTAATGGGCTTTTTGTAGTTTGACTACATCAGGACCCCTGTTCAACTTGGCCATCAAGACTAACGGGGCCAGCAAACTCTTGGGGCAGGAGGGAGGAAGTAAGCCAGCATCTTTTTTTTCTTTTTTTTTCTTTTTTTCCTTGAGATTGAAAAGAAGACCCTGTCAGCAATAAAGTTTTTAAAAGCCATAACAGGTGCTATCTTAAATAAAACTGCTTGTTCTACGCAAAATTGCTACCTGAAGATAGTGCCAAGTGGAATTCTGAAATCTCTTAACTCAGCAATGGTGAACTCTCCAACAGCCCCAGAAAAACAGCTGCCATCCTGTGAAAGGACCCTGTTTTTATAAGATCTGTTGCACCTTCTAATAGGTATTATTTAGTTTTCTTTTATATTAGCTATATGTTAGTTTTTCTGTAGCTATGGAAAAGCATGTAATAGCTATATGTTTTTCTTCCTGCATAACTGATGATGATTTTAATCAGAGGAGGCAAGCAGTGAAGTCAGGAGGACCAGAAAATAAATGCAACAGTCTGAGAAATGCAGAGTACATTGTGAATGTTTTCTACAAATGAAATTGTATGTGTGTGATATTTCTGGGAATGACCCAGCAATACCCTGGTTATACCATTCCCTCTCCTGAACCCTGGCTCCCCTGGTTTCTTTTAGTGCACAAATACCTGAGGCACACTTAGGAACTGATGCTTTTGCGCATTACTGAGCTCAGTTCCTTTATTCAGCAAACTTTTCAGGTGATGCTTTCTTGTTGTCATAGCTGAAGAAATTTGAGAAACCCATTCTTTTCTCCTTTTGAGCCCTGGGGAATTGCAGACTAGCGTAAGTTTACTACTGTATGTTCCATTGCGGTGTGAACGTGAGGGAACTAGGGATGTTTCACTGGTCACTGTGGAAGGCTGGCTGTTCACAAATTCATTCCCTTCCATCAGCATGCCTGTGCAAGAAACTGCAGGGGCTAACATACAAGGGAAGAAGATCACACATGGGCGTTTGAGATGCAAAGCTTGTAACAAGCTGAACAAGTAAAAGTCTGAAATGAGATCAAAGTCTTGCATGTAACACCTGTGCCATGGAAGGGACTTTTAGGTGCTTAAACTTTTCTTTTTTTAAATCCTTGGGCTTTCAAAAATACCTAATTTCTATTGAATTAAATTATAAATAAATAGATGCACCACTCATGCATTTGCAGGAGGGCTAATCTTCATTTGTTTTAGACAGAACCAGTAGAGAAGATCAAAAGAAAGTGTAAAGCAGCTAGGTTAGGAGGTTATTTCTTAACAGAGCTGCTAGGTGTCTGACTGGGTGGACAGGTGTGTATGCATGAGGGAAAGCTGCGGTGCACTACAGAGAGGCTTTCCTGCATGTACAACCAGCTGAGGGAGGCTATCCTACACCACCACACCTGCCGGGCTTTGGGGGCATCAGCACAGGCTGCCCATTTGAGTTTGAGGGAGGATGAATATGTTATTTCTAATGCTGACCTCTGGTTCCATGAGATGTGACAATTTTCCTTCCGTACGGCTACTTGATGAAAGACAGGGGCAGGTGGTTTTCCTGATCCCAAGTCACGTTCCAGAGCCTTCGCACAGCCAAGTGGCACAGTCCACACGCTGGAAGGAGTAAGAACAACGGCTCTGCAGGGGTATGTGCTTCCCTGTCAGATGGGGGTTGGCTGCAGGGCAGAGAGAGGCCTCACAGGAACTACAAAAGAGAAAATAAATCCAGAGGCTAACTAAAGACTGATTTCACTGAGTCACAGACTCCAGGAGGTGGACACACACGCTCCTGAAGGGAAAGGTACCTGGGGAAAGCAAATGTGCTGTTAGGATTAGGCTTCCTGTGCAGAGTCTTATCTTGTCAGCTGGAAGAGGCTGAGGGTACTATACATCTAAAATGGTAGCAAACACATAGAGCTAGCTGAGATGAAATGCAATGAATGTGTGTGATAGGTCTAGCTTCATCTCAGCAGTCATCCAGAACTTAGGCACTTGCAAATAAGCATGCGCACCCCTGCGGATCTGCGTCTACCTGCAGACCTCTCCTGGGTTTAGGCATCCTTACATACTGTGTCAGAGAAGAAAGCAGGGCTCGCTGGCTTATTTCCAAGTGGAGAGATGTGCCTCTCACCATGCTGCACTATAACTGGAAGGATAAACTAGTCCTCTGGGAAGGACATTCAAGTCCTTCTTCAACCTGAAGGATGGGAAAGAAACTCAAAACCACATCTTCCACCTTCAGAAGGGCTGCAGGCACCATCATCCGAGATGATAAGCAGAGGGGAAAAGACATTACTACCAATTCTGTGGAAGCTGTTGACCAAGAATGCAAGATTCATACTGTGATAGCAGCGTGCTTGCGATGAACACAATCCCAGGAACCACAGCTGCAAAAACTGGGCTACAGGATAAAGTTTTTATCTTAAAATTCAACCCCCTGCTAACCCTTTGCAGTATGAGTGGACTTACGTGGTTCTCACTGGGTGTACTGAGTGGAGTATTCATTGCTGATAAGCATTCCTAATGTGTCATTATTCTCGTAACACAGCAGAACAGGCACTGGTTCCACAGACAAATATATTCATCAGAAATTTTCCCTGTGAAATTTGGATCAAAGTTGTAGTGAGAGATCCAGATTACTATCAATGGTTCCTCATGGTCACAGAAAGCCTGCGTGGCCCAAGTCTGATCCTTATATTCCTAAGACTGAAGCAGGTATCAGTGGAGTCAGAAGAAAATCCCAACCTGGAAGGAAACACTGCATGACCAGACACAAACAGACATCCCACATTTTCTTTGTGTCACAGGCAAAGACCAGAGAGACCAGGCTACAGGTTTTGGTTTTTTGATAATTTTTTTTTGCATCTGTTTTGGAAAAAATATACAAAAAAAAAAGCCAAGAAGAACCAACATGGAAATGTGAGGTAAACATTCCAGTAAAAGTACAGAGGCTCCATTTTTTAAAGGAGACACACAGCAGTTATCACCATGCTAGAAGAATGAGATGCAGGAAAATCCTAGAAACAGTGAAAAGTCATGTAATGAAGCCTTTGCCCCAGTTCTAGCCATTGTAAACAGGCTCCTTTTTGTTGTTCCCCCCACCTCCCACCCCCACGTAATTGTCTTTTTATTCCTTAAACAAAGTTGTTAAATTGTAAAATAGCAGTTTTGATATAAATTCTGTATGGCAGAATTTACAAAAATGCAGACTGCTACTACAGACTGTGTCAGGTTTTTTGTATTTTTTTTTTTCACTTGCCAAAGCCCCCCAGTAAAAACTACACTGTTGGAGCAAAATTGGCTTCTTGGTTATGCCAATCTGAATGCCAGGTAATGCCACTCCACTGAAGAAGTGGTGTCACTTTTCCTTTGCACCAGCGTTACTAGATACCCCACAAATCTATGGTGAAGTTATGAAACACTTAAAAGCGCAGCCTCAGCTCCACAGTGGTGGCTGTATATCCCCATAGTCAATTCCTGAAGCCAGGTTTCACTGGGAGCTTTAGCTGGGCCTCAGGGAGGAATGGAGATCTAGGGAGATGATATAGTCAGCTCACATGCTATCAGCTACTACTATAAATTTTCATGTCCAGTCTGTCTATATTGCAGACTGAGTACATTGTTTTAGTTATTCTTCAATAACTAGCACAATCACCCACACCAGAACATCGGGCATTGATTCGGTAAGATGCTTAAGGACATACTTCAAGCCTGACATACTTCAAGTCTGCCAAGTAGTCTGGAAACTGGATGGCTAACTGAAGACCATAATGCTAAGGAATGCTTAAGCAGCTTACCGAATCAAGGATAGATATTTATTATTTGTTGATAGTGTCATTCAGGTTAGATTCCTGATCACCATTATTTTAATCTGAATTAAATATATGTAATTACTTTAGACCTATGCTGAGCTTACTCTGATCAGAATCTGACCCACTGGTAGAAGCACTTCTTACGGTAAGAAAAGGTAAAAGTGAATTATTTTTTTTTTGAAGATATATAAATTCAAAATGAAAAAAAAAATTGTGTACAAATATCACATAACAACATCAACAATTCCATAGATGTAGTTCCTCAGTGCACACTTTAAACAAGAAAAGGTTTTTTTTGTTCTTTTTCTGTTTTGATTTTAAATTCTGGCATAATAATATTAAAGCTGACAAAAAATTAGGGCAAGCTACATCACTTCCTCATACAAAAAAAGTACAAAACATTAGCCTCTAACTAGACGTAACATAATACTGGTCATCACAGTTAGACATTTAGTAACTGTGTGTCTTGGAGTATTGTACTGGAGGATAATAAAAAATAGCTTCGGTTGCCAATCTTCCATCTCAGGTTACTTCAGTCATAGAGGCAGAGTGGTTCTGCAAAGAGGAAAAGGCAAACGCGTGAACATTTGTATACATTTTGGCATTTACCTATCCTAGTGCGTAAAATGAATGAGGAAAACCTCCACTAATAGAATATGTTGCCCATCTAATGTAGGGCTTTAAAATGAAGAAATCACTGCAAATGTGACTGCCGTCTATCCTGAGTTCATGCTGGAAAATCCTAAAGTCAAGCCCAGCTTTTGGGCTATGAACACTCACTAAAAGGCTTGAAAAACAAGGTGCAACTTTTTCAGTAGAGGCTTTCAAACTGGACTGGTTCTTGGCCAGAGGATCAGTCAGTACAGGCTGAAGCACTTCATACAGTCATGTAACTAATACAGTGGGTGTGTCCTCAGTCATGAAGAGCCTAAAAGTCCATGGTTTGGCTTCATGGGATGTGTACATGTAGATCCTATGCAGTTTGATACTAGGGAACATACAGAGCCTAAAACCATACAGGGGTGGGGTCATTATAACAAAACACATGCAGCCACAAATATATAGCAACACAAAAATCCTCTTTAGGTGGAAACAGTGTTGATTTAACCTTCTTGAAAGCCAATGTCCAGGACTTCAGTGGCAGTACTGAGTCATCCTTGGATCATGCTGCAGGGTTTGTACGGGTGCAAGGCAAAACAAGAGTGGGAATGGATGCAGAAATCTGCACAGACAAGGAGGATGCACCTCCAATATTTGAAGAATCAGTAATGAGCAGCCACTCCCAAGGCCTTGTTTACAATAGCTTCAAAGTAGGATCACTTTTTTGACCAGTCTACTCCTGCATGGTAGATGTATGGTCATTTAGAGACTGATACACTGATTCAGAGAAAATTATCTTGTTGATTATAGCAGACATCAACAGTTAAGGCCTAGTCCCTACCTGCACTTCACAGTCCAGAAGCTTTAAATAGCTGACTAGACAAAATTTTTCTCACTGTCTAAGAATATTTTCACCTGTCCAGCCCTTTTGTCATACACAATACAATGTGGATATATAAGTAGCACTTAGTTTCTGGACTGCAACTCCACCAAGAGTTCCGCCAATGCTTGCGTGCTCCACCAGTGCACACAGTTCTGAAGATTTAGCTGAAAGTCTTCCAGCAAATCTTTGCCTAATCAAAGTTGACTTTTCAATTAAGAAAAACATTTCCAGGAGTTAGAAACTGTGTCTTTTCCATTTTTTAAATTCCTATTTTCAGTTTATATGTCAAAGGGTTTAACAAAAGTCACTGTTGATCTTGCCACACACCATGTACACAGGAATGACAGGCCATCTAAAAAAGGAAGTACAATTTAATGAACAAATAAATTACACCAGGGCATTTCAGATAACTGATAAACTACAGTTGCTCCTTGCCCCCGGAAATTCTTGGCAGGTGGTATTTGCTTGTCTGTTTTGAAAGCACTGGGTATGATTCAGTTATGCCAAAACAAGCCTTTTGAAGTTGGTAGTTTAACAGAAATACCATCAATAATCATGCTCCTGTTAGCCTATTTTTTTGCAAACTTGAAAGAATGCTATTAACTTCTCTTTTGCAAACTTGAAAGAAGGCAATTAACTTTTCTCCTGATAACATAGAGATAGAAAACAGTATATGATTTTTTTTCTTCTTATAGAAGATACTGAACAGTAATAAGGATAAAAAACTATTCTCTAATATTTTTCTAGACAGCATAGTTTATCCTCAGGATTACAAATGTTAGAGTAAATCCTTAAGACATCCCAAAAGCATTCCAAAGTGTAATTAGAATTATCTTTATTTTTCTCTCAGTTTTCTATTCTTCTAAGGAGAAGTTTGTTACCACAAATGACACACAGAGGCATGTGAAATCCTACTGCGATACCTTTGGATGTGCACAGGGGCAGAGCATCTACAGTATTTGGTAGTTTAAGGGATAAAAGCCTTAAAACAAGCTCTCCCCTGATGCAAATTCACTCTGTTCAATGGGCTTAATGTTAGGAATAAAACCAGCTCCCTGTGTAGTTATGTATACAACTAGTTTTTACTCTGCCATAACAGAAAATGGGTTTGGTGATGGTCTGGGTGAGGGGATTGACAGTACCTGTGCACTCAATGTCTCCAGAGGACTTTCCACTCTTGGAAAAGCCATTAGTGGCATTCCTCGTGGGTCTTCAGGCTTCGGTTTAGAAGGAGCTCCGTGAGTGCCTTTAAAGTTATGGACAACACATATCCCCTGTGTAACACAGGAAAAAAAAAAAAAAAGAAGTGAGGTCAGCATGTTCTGAATCCCCAGGAAAAACTCACAGGAATTGTCATCAGGGGTCTCACAACTGCCAGTGTTTGCAAAGAACTTCACCTGGGTTTTGGTTCAAGGCATCACCTATCTCAGCCTTGGGCTTCAATGTGTTTACTGACAGAGTTGGGCGTGGTGGACTACCTTGGTAAAATGGGTTCATCTGGCCTGTAATCTGAGGTGATGAACCATTCTCAGCCATTTTTGTGTTTTATACAGCAGCGGCTCCCATGTCTGCTTTATCATCACAGAAAAGTGGACTACCCTTATGATGCATTTTATTGACTAAATACTCCCTTCAGACTCTTATTTCCAAACAGTAAAAACAGCTCACTGGATGGCTGAAATCTACCTCACAGCTGGATGACATCAAGCTCATTTAGCACCATTCCTGCATACTTCCAGCACAACTGCTGTGGTGTTTATTCCACAAGCCCTTCACTTGTACAGGACCAGCCTTACTGCACCCACGCAGTAACGCTAACAAGAGAAAACACACATGGCCATTTGGGGCTTGGGAACACAGTGGAAAAAAAACCATACAGGAGCTGACACATCTACTGTCAGAGTGATTCCTGAAGCCAGCTCCTTGCTGGCTTTTCCTCTTTGTTGCTCTTTAGAGCTGAACAAGGAGCAGGCTG